TGATGGGCATATTTAGATCTCTTTGGATACTTTCATTACGCATGTACCATGGTGCGCCCGTTATTACTCTTAACGTTTTCGATTGGAACCGTCGCGCAAGCTGTGCCCCATAACTATACATCTATATCGGTTCGCCTGTCCAAATGGATTCTGAAGTATATAATTTCACCATCCTGGGAGATCGACACATTGTTGAGCTTGACGATGGGGCACATTTTTGGCCTTCGGTGAACAAAATAAACAATATTGGTCCAAGAACACTACCCTGCGAAACACTTGCCGTGATTGGATTGGACGAAATGATGTCTGAGAAGACAGTAATCTAGAGTGCTTTGCTTTGCTGTATGGAGCAGTAGGCTAGCTGGAGAGACACTCACACTGCGGCTCACCGATGAAGGAAATCTACACGAATTCCACTATTAACTACAGATTTATTTAACCATTACGTATCCTGAAAAGAGGCAACGGGCGCTTTTCACTTTACAAGAGTGCAAATAAAATTGTTTCAATAAGTAATAGACTCTTCCAGATGCATATATGTATATAGTTAACAAACTTCTGTATGGTGTACAAAGTTTCATGCAAAAAAATGTACACTAAGTTCGTAGACTTCTGCTCATATACTCGCATAAGAGTATATAAATATGCACGTATGTAGGTCTGTATTTACTTGCGCACTTCAAGTGTAAAAATTTTATGCAAATATTTACTTAAGTGTTTCTTCGCCAAAAAAAAAAAAAGAAAGTCGAGAATTGATGTGCAGAAGAAGGGAAAATAATTCATACTCGTAGATAAAACCAAACATGGGCTGACAGTCATACCCCAACACCTGATAAGCGCATGTCCAAGCGCTAGAAACGCTTAAGTAAGTACAGATGTACATGCAGGCATTCACATTCATATATACATACCATATGCGCGCTAAAACAAAAGAATGAATTTCAACACAATTTTATTAAAATAATAGAAGTGTTGCCCAAAAACACACGCGCACATATTCATACATAAAGTACACAAGTTAATGACTTGTAGTTTAAATAAAAAAAAATATATATATGTATATATACTTATATATGTTTGTTTTCAAGTATATTTATATGGTTAAATCACCTGTTTTCAAATTCAATACCCGCCTCCCACTGCGATTTTTGCCAGAAATAGAATTTCGATTTATTAATTTAGCGCCACATTCAAAAGCCCGATTACAGATGTTTATATCTACATATTTCTTTGCTGATTTATTGGAATCGATATATATGACAGCCTTTGGATAATGTATGTATGTGCCTTCCTGTATATTACACGAAGCTTATATCTGAACTAGGCATTTACTTTTGTGCTTTTGTTTTAATCGAATTTTGTAATACATATTTCATATGAAGGTGCAGTTACGTACATATGAATGTATGTATGTATGTATGTATGTATGTATGTCTATAAATGTCTCCTCTTCCATTATTTAAGTGATAACACTTGACGGCAGCGGTAAAAACGAAGGAAAATGTAAGTTGCTAGACACTTATTTACAAACACATACATACATTAAGACCAAAAAGTTTCCGCAAATTGTTTCTTTTCGATCTTCGTGGTTGGGTTCATCATGAAATCGTTTCAACGGGACAGACGGTCAATAAAAAGTATATTTTTTATTATTTTGAGTTTTTTGCGCGAAAGCAACCATCGTAAACGGTCAGAATTGTGGGCCAACAATTTCTGGAAGCTTTAATGGCGATAATGCGTCAGCAACCGAGTTGTGAATGATTTTAAGACCAAAAACTTGTTCAATACCGATCAACCAGCATGTTCACCGGATTCGGCTCCGTACGATTTATTTTCTACTTGTTTCCAAAACTCAAGTTACCATTTAGTTAAGGACAGTGCTACCAACTTAACAAAAAAATAGTGCTAAAAATATTCAGCGCGGGCAGTTTAAATGACAGTTCCCGGAAGCTTTCTGGTCTGAATGTATGTATGTATTAAGCTCTGCAAAAATCAAAATTTTGTTTTTTTTTATTTTTTAGGAATACCCGTCTAGAATTAAATACACTTTTGCTTAAAGTATTTACTTCCGCATGCATTTTATTTTTATATCAACCTGCGTAGCAAAAACAAAAAAAAAAATATGAAAAAAAAAGTTAAAACAAAATTATATAAAGTAACGTACCTAAAGAAAATTAATAAATAAAAAGTAACTAACATAAGACATAATAAAAAAATGAAATTTAATTTAAATTTAAAATTAAAATTGTTAAAACAACTATTTAAAATATACTAAAAAATCGTTTAGTACAAATATAAAAACTGAATTAAATCACTTTAAAATTAAAGTAAATAAACTGATATTAATAAAATAAAATACAATAATAAAGTGAGAGATAAAATTAAATTAAGTAAAAAACAAATAAAATAAAATTAAAAACAAATAAATTTTATTAACTACTTTAAACTAAATTTATAAAAAATAAAATAAACAAAATTAAGTAATATAAAAAGCAAAAATTGAAATAATATACAATAAAATAAAATAAACATAAACAGCTAATTGAAAAAAATAAAATATAAAATTAAAAACTTCAGTAAATATATTCAAATAGAATCAAATGTTTAATAAACAATTAATAAACCTAAACATAAACAATGATCGAAATTAACTATTGTACATTAAATATAATTAAATAAAATTAAAAAAAAAATTAAAGTAACATAAATATATTTTTAAAATATACTTAAAAAATTTCATTTAATACAATTATAAGTTTCAAATTAAATTAATTTAAAATAAAATAAATTAACTAAAATGAATCAAATAAAATATAATAAAAAAGTGAGAACAAATAAAAAAGGAATAAATAAAATAAAAATTCTATATATTAAATTTAATAAATTCAAAATTAATTATTTTAACTAAATTAAACTAAATAAAAGTAAAAATGTAATAAAAAAATAAGTTATATAAAAAAGCGCAAAATCAAACAAATCACAATAAAATAAAATCGCAAAATAAACAACAAATAAGAATAAATAAAATTAAATATAAAAAAAATTACTGAATATGGATATTATAAATAGGAAATAATGAATATTACAAAATATTCAAATAAATTACATTAAACATAATAAAGTAAAATAAAATAAAAGAAAAAAAATTTAATAACACAATATAAAATAAAATAAATAAAAAAATAATAAAATAAGATAAATTAAAAGCAAATAAAACGAAACTAATTAACGAAATTAGGTAAATTAAAATAAAAAATTATAGAATTGATATAACATAAAATAACACAAATAAATTAAAATAAATGAATATAACAGAAAAGAAAAGAAAAAAAATAATATGAAATAAATAATTTAAACTAAATTAAAAAATTTAAAAAAATTAAATAAACTAAAATTAAATGAAAAATACAAAAATAAAAAACTTAGTTCAATTGAATATAAATCAAATGGAATAAAGCAAAATAAATTAGACTGAAATAAAACAAACTTATTGAAATCAAGTTATGGTAAATTAAATTAAATAAATAAAAAAAATATAATATATCAATTTAAAATTGAATAAATAATAAATAATTAATATAAGCACTGAAAGGATAAATAAATAATATGAAATAAATCGAAAGAAAGGAAATAAAATAAAACCAAAATAATTAAATGAAATAAGATCAATTAACATAAAAACTAAAAAAATATAAGTTGATTAATAAATTAATATAAAATAACATGACAGAAAAGAAAATAAAAAAAAGATTAAAATAAAATAATATGAAATAAAATAAATTCAATTAAATAAAAAAAATAAAAAAAATGAAATAAATTAAAATGAAATAAAAAGTAAAAAAATCAATCCAATTTAATTCAAAGTAAATTGAATGAAGTAGAGTAAAATATACTGAAATAATACAAATTTATTGAAATTAAGTTATTGTAAATTAAATTAAAATAATATAATAATACAAAGTAAAATTAAAAAAAAAAATAATAACTAATGGAAGCAATGAAAGGAACAATAAAATATAAAAAATTAAAATAAGGGAAAGTAAATAAAATAAAATGAGGTTATTAAATTAAATTAAATGAAAAAAATCACACAAAGTAAAATAATTACAACTAAATTAAATTAAGCTATTTGAAAAAAAGAAGAAAAAACTTAACTAGATGAGGCAAAATAATATAAATAAAACATCATAAAATAACTTAAAAACTTAAAATCAAAGAAATGAATAAAAATAATAAAAAATAAAGGCCTACAAACTCTACTATTTGATATCTCAACCATAAACATTTCGTTTTTTATTTTTATATTTAGTGGGAAATATCTGCTTCGGCTTTCCCATAGCCCTATTAAGATCGTTTTCTTCTTTTTTTTCGAATTAGCGCAGATAGGTATTGTGCGTTTAAAGCCTGCTCAACCCGAAGGGTTACTTCTGCTTCCACCAGTGGTTGCTACATGGAATACCTACAAAGCACAAGTGTCTTCGTCATTCCCATCGACATAGCATAGCCAGTGCAGAAGCTTTTTCTAAATACACGCAGCCATGAGTCAATGTTGGTACTGGTGCACTGAAAATCCAGGTTGTGATTATTATAAACAACACCACAGCTGAAGCTTAAAATAAATTTAAAAATATCTATAAGAATGTAGTAAGTTGCTGCTCGTCCCCTCCTTCCCAGTTCTCATTGCGGTGTGCGTTTCAATATTACTGAGGGTTGGCTTTTATGGAATAAAAATATATTTTCTTATCACTGTTATTTCTGCGGCTCAAATTTAACTGGGATTCGGAATGAAAAATTGTGCCAGACTTTTTTCAGTAAGTTTTCATAAAGATTTGACCACTGTAAGGGCTAAGATCTTAGTTATGATAGAATAATTGACCTTCATTCCAGAGGAAATGCCAGTTTTTTTTTTCACCGGTGTAATCTTATCTTAAGCAGATATACAATAAAAAATCCAAATTTTTTTTATTTCACTCAATATCGGAAAGATTCAATCCATTCGGCTCGGTGTAAACAAAGTAAGTATATAATTCAAATATGTATACATTTTTGTTGTAATAAAAAAACATTGCTCACAAATTATTTTTTCAATGCCATAATAAAATCAATTAGGAATATAATACCATTAGCGAGGAATAACGCTGCAGCAATAAAGTGTGCCAGCCGACCATCTTCATCAGCGGGTAAGATGCCAACAGTCAGTCCACCACAGATGAGAAAGAGTATTGCGCCCAAAATTAAATAGACGATGACTTCATTAAATTCAGCAAATTCATCTGAAATTATCAATGAAAATTTTATAATTTTTTCCAATGCAATTCCGAAGAGGGGAAGTTCCTCCTTCATCACTTACGTGCCACCATTACCGCTGTAATTATGGTGAGGCCAAATATTGTGCCACAAATGAGCATCACTATTATTGCACGTGCTGCAAATTCACCTAAGGCATACCATAGTATGAAGAGTACGACACAAATTATCTGGTGAGAGTAAAATTAATTAACTATTTTTTATATCAGGATTCTGTGAGAAATAATTTTTATTTTTATTTTTATATATTAATTTTTTCTTTACGAGCTTCGTTAAGCCCTCAACATTTGCTTACAAATTCTGCAATTCTAAAAATTGTTTTGACCTCCATTGCAGTCCGGTTTTTAAGATAAATATCTGTTTGCAAAATATATTATATATGATTTTTTTTTAATTATTTGTATGTATTAATGCAATAATAATAATAATATTAATAACAAAAACTTCAAAATATGTATATGATATTGTCAATAATTGAAATCTAGTTTTGAAAAATGCTTTTATAATTTATAAAATTTTTTTAACGAAAACGAAAGTGAAAAAAATCAAAAAGTAGTTTTGTATTCCCAATTTTGATATTCACAAAATCTTATTTATTCAAAATTATTATGCGCCATTTGCAAGACAGTAAAGAAACTTTTCTCTAGGAAGCCATTACCTACACTGGAACCACTTTTGCATCACGTCAGGGTGACTTTCAATACTACTAGTCTTGCGACTTACAACTTTGAATCTGCGTTCGAGTTCCATTTTTTAACAGTATCGCCTTTTTTACGTAATTCTTCAAGTTTTTCCAGTTTTCCAAGTTATAACACTTTTTTGTAATTGGATTACCTGAGCTCTTGGGGTGCTTTCTATTGGTTTTTGACGCTCGTAGGCAACACCGTTTTCCACTACTCGGCTTATCAGCTACGGAAACTTGCAGCAGGATCGTATTTCAGCAGGACTAGTGGCTCGTCGTTCTGTTCGATGTTCTGGCCGTGAGCTTTGCCGTCCATTGGCTTTTGGGTTTAACCGTAAGCTGCGATTTCTTGCCAGACATGGTACAAGACCTTCGGTAGAATTTTTTAATATCGAAATACATTTTCCTGTTCTTAAAATCCAGACCAACATTTTTGCTTTTAACCAACGCCTGCCTTATTTCTTGGACAATGACATTACACTCTTTTTTCCGAGTCGCATTTTGTACACAACTGTTTTCTCTGAGACTGCTGTACAGTGGAAGTAGGTTTTGCAATCCAACAGTGTTCCACCTGAGTCTTGCTAGGAGAGCCGATGTCGATTTGGCCGGTACAAAATTTTCTGGCAGGGATTCGTGCTCTTCTGGTGATCGCAAAACACTGCTACTTCTGCGGAAAGCATTGCTGAATTTTTCGCTCCTATTCTCCTCTGATTGAAATTTTTCTTCATTATTTGCTTAATTTTTATTTATTTATTTTTTTTTCAGGTATTCAGTTTCTTATTCGCTGTGAAAGAGCCCGTGGCAGATCACGACACAGTTGCCACATGTACTGATGGGAGCTCGTACTCGGAGCCAGCCCGGCGCTAATCAGGAGTTTGTCTGAATATCTCTGTACGGCGAATCTAATAGCGACGTGCTTTTAACGCTCTTGAAGACCTGACAGGTGCTATAATGAGACGAGGGCAATTGGGAAATTAAGCTACCAGCCATTTCAAGCAGGAGTCACCCTTTCTCATTAAGGTGGCAGAAAATCATAATTAAAATATAATAAAAAACAGTAGAAAAATAAAATAAAATAAATAAAATAAAAAAAAATATAATAATATAATTTAAGAGACAATAATCCTATATAGAGTGAGATAATAAATTAAAATAAGTTAAGGTAAATAATAAACACAACAACAACAAACTGAACAACTCAAACTCGTTAACAACACTATAACCATTTGACAATTGACATTTTATAAATACACAAATAATCGAATTTTCCACTTTTGATTTAAGCAAAAGGTAAAGAATTTTGAATAAAAAAACTCTTTAAATTCCATAAAAGACAAAAAACAATGGATTTCAAAACAATTCTTCGCATTGTCGAACTGGTGATTAATATGTTTTTACTAAGTAAATTTTTACAATTTACAACTAATAAACCAATTTGAAACTCTGCAGGTAGTATGCGTGGTTCTCTTAGTGCTTTGGTATGCGTTGACGACGTACGCGTCCAGGGTGATGATTATTTGTGGCACCATATTCGGTTTCACCATAATCTGTTCGGTACTCTTGGCACGTGAGTGTGTTGAAAATTTAAGACTTTTCCTTGTCATTTCTTTACTCCTTGCTCTGCTTACAGGCGAATTCTTTGACTTCAATGATACCTTAATCTATTTATTGATCGGTGCTATTCTCTTTCTCATCTGCGGTGGTGTAACTGTGGCCACTTTGCCAGACAGCAGCGATGGAAAGCTTTCATATTTTATTGCAACGGCTCTTTTCATAGCGAATGGCGTAATTTTTCTAATTGATTTCATTATGGAATTCAAAGGCAACAGCCAGTCTATCGATTAGAATAAGCTTCGCGATAAGTAATTTCCTTGGTTTGAAATTTCAATAAGGAAATTTTATTTCAAACGGATTTATTTCTACTTTGAATTATTAATTAATTTATACTTACTTTTGTATTTACATACATATTCCTTTATGTTATTTTGTTAGTAACATTTTTTCTGCGAAATAAAGAATTTTAACTCAACTTTTCTTCAAAAAATAATGTCATAAATTAACGCAGCCAAAGCTCGTTTAGAAGACTTTGACCTCTTTGCATTTGATGATTTGTTAGGTTTTATTGAGGTTACGTTTGATCACTGAATCTTAAAGAATGAAAAAAAAAAATTGGCAAAAGAGTTAGCTTAGAACCAGATAATATTTAAGATATTCGCTTTTTTCAATTTAATTGATTCCTGCAAGAGTCAACCAAACTATTTAACCCGTGAGGTTCCACTTGTGAGAACAAGCAGCTGAAAGAACTTTAGGGCTTTCATTTAAAAACTCTTCTGGTAATTAGAAGAAGGTAAAGAACATCTACATGTAAAGTTTAAAAGCATACATTCATTTTGAAGCTCAACTATAAGCTTTCGTAAAGCTATCCGAATACTTTGACACGAAACGTTGTAGTCTCTATAAGCATATAAAAGGAAGTTTTCAAAATAATTGCCAAAAAAAAATGTAAATCTTATAGCTTAGGTGGATGGTGGCCGCAAGACTTCGTCCCAAAATCTCAAATCAAAAATCTAATTGGAGAGACGACGCGCATGCGAATCATTCACGAAGTTTAATGGAACACAGACCTGTAAGAGCATACACGAGGTATGGCCCGGTCTAGGTGTGAATAACTTCGTATATACGCTAAAAGCTCCTAGTCTTATAGAGTATTTACGCATACTAGGTGTAGTAAAAAGTTCGGTTCAGTTTTTATCTAAGAGATGGTGTTAATGCCCATAGTACTAGTGTTACGTGTCATATCATGTCATGCTCTGAGGCGCTGAAAACGTGTTAATCCGCGCTAAAAGTTTCTCTTTGACGGTTTTTCGATTGACTGACTCAGTACGTTGTGAGCGCTCGTGAAAGATGTACACAAGGAAAGAGGAAATTCGCTATATTTTAGAATTTTTCTTCGATCAAGGCGAAAACGCAGCCAAAGCGGCTGAAAAAGTTAATTTAGTTTGTGGGCCCGATACTGTAAACGAACGCGTAGCACAAAAGTGGTTTGCTAGGTTCGGTTCCGGTAATTTCGATATCAAAGATGCACCACGCATCGTTAGGCTTGTCAACTAAAATTGCAATTTAATAATGGAAATAGTGGAAACAGACCGTCACGTGAGCACTTATTTAATTGCTGAGGAACTAAAGATAAGCCGTTTGGAACTATTGCCTAACCTTGGATTCAAAAAGAAGCTCGATGTTTAGGTGCCACACGAAGTAAAGCAAAAAAACATGATGGACCGAATTTCCATTTATGAATGGCTGCTGAATCGCAACCAAATCGACCCGTTTCTGAAGAGGCTTGTGACTGGCGCTGAAAAATGGGTCACTTACGGCAATATTGCGCTCAAACGGTCGTGGTCAAAGCTCGGGTAAGCGGCCTATAGGGTGGTCAAGATCGGATTGACGACCAGGAATGATTTGCTGTGTGTTTGGTGGGGTTGGCATAGAATCATCTACTACGAGCTGCTCCCCATGGCCAAACGCTCAATTCGGCCCTCTTCTGCCAGCAAATGGACCGCTTAAAAGCAGCACTCAACCAGAAGAGGCCATGGTTGATCAACAGAGGCCGAATTGAGTACCACCAGGATAATACCAGGCCGCAAACATCTTTGGTGATGCGCGCGTAGCTTCAGGAGCTCGAATGGGAGGTCCTAATGCACCCAACTTATAGTCCGGACCAGCACCAAGTGATTACCACTTTTTCCTGTCCATGGCGAACGCGCTTAATGGTGAGAAGTTGGCGTCAAAAGAGGCCTGTGAAAATTGCATCTCCGAGTTTTTTGCCAATAGGGACGCAGCCTTATACGAGAGGGGTATAATGAAGTTGGATCTAGTTGGCAACAAGTTTACGAAAAATGTACACGAAGTTATGATGTTTTGAAAAATCAATAAAAAGCCGAACGGATTTCTTACTTAACCATTATTTTTAAGGCACTACCTTTGGTTTTACTATGGTTAGCGCTATAGCAATAGCACGTAAGTTACAGAAGGTGGAAAATAAAATATTTTCTTTTGTTTTTTATTTTCATTCTTCTTCTACAGTTCAGTTTATGGCATGCAATAAAACCTTGCTTATAACTAAACTTGGCTGCGCAATGTTTTTTAAAATATTATTTTGCAATTTGACTTCTAATGCTTAATGCTTTTTTGTTTGTAATTGTATTTGTTTGGATTGGTTTTTGTAAATACTGTATGGGATATCTTACTCATACAAACCAATTATTCTATGAAGGTTCTTGGGTGTGTTCAAATCCTTTTCAATTTCTTTTCTGCAAAAGTTGCCATTCATAAGTGAGAATTTGGCTTACTATTTTTATATATGTTGTGCTTTAAATTGCCGTCAGTTTGAATAATTTTATAAATAGCGCCAAAATGAAGGCAACCTTTACCAAAGTAACACCAAAATGCAATAACCACCAATGTTAAAATTATTTCAAGTGAGAAGTAAATATTTATTTGAGGGTTAGGAAAGAAACGGAAAGAAATTACATCATTTTACGACTTAAATAAAAATACAACAACTTAAATCGTGTAGTAAAAACGAAGATTTACTGAATATTTTATTTCTATACCAAATAAATATTTTATTATTTTAAACCATTCTATTATCACTACCTAAAAACGAAATAAGACTAATATCACATTAAATATACACTTCCAGTCCAGTAGAGATACACACAAAATATTATATCCATATTAATATCGACTTAAATCATAGGTATTTTTTGGTATATCCTTAATCACCGGCACTTCACGGCGCCTACAATGTGAACGAAAATAAATTAGAATAATCAATAAAAATTTAAACAAAATTTTTTAAAATGAAGCAAAATCAAACCAAACAAAATTCCATAAAGTAATGCAAGAAAACAAACAAATTATTATTACACATACAAAAACACAACAAACTAAAACACTATATTTTAGTACAAGAAGAAAATGTACAAAAGATAAATTTAAGTTAAGATAAAATGAAATAAAATAAATGTATTTAAAAGAATTAAGTTACAAACTGTAAACATGTAATAACATAAAATAAAATACAAACAAGTAAAAAAAAATAATAAATTAAAATAAAATAATTATTGTATGTAAAACAAAAAAAAAATAGAATAATAATAAACAATTCAAAATAAATTAAAAAAATAAAATAAAATAATGTAAATACTTCTTAACTAAAATAACGTTATAGAAAGAATATAAATAAATTCAAATAAAATAAAATCAGATTTATAAAATAGACAAAATACAATCAAATAAAATAAACCAAATAGATTTTAATATAAATGAAATTAGAAAAATATGAATTAACTCAAACTAAATAAAAACTAAAAGTGTACGAAAAAAATAAAATTAGAAAAAAAAATAAAATTAAAGAAATAATAGCATAAATAAAAATAAAACAAAAATATTAAAAAAAAAAATAATTTAATAAAAAATAAATAAAATAATTTTAACTAAACTAAATTAAAAAAAATTACATAAACTTAATTATACATAAATTAAAAATAGTAACACAAATAAAAATTAATGTAAATAAAAGGTACAATTATAGTAAAAAATTAAAGACTAAATAAAAAACGAGGTAAAAAGGTATAAAATTAAAAAAAATAATAGAATTAAAGATGAAATAAAATATATATAAAAAATACAGTAAATTAGTTTAATATCAATCTATTTTTATATTATTATTTAATACAAAATATATGTTAAATAATTGCGTAAAAAAAATAAATTAATTTAGTTAAATCATATAAAATATCTTAAAATAAAATAAGCAAAATAAAATAAAATCATTTTCGATTCATAAACCAAATTAAAATAAAAAAAATTGAACACCCTTAACTATAAATAAAATAAAACAAATAAAAATTATAAAAAATCAATAAAAAAAGAAACTAATTTATATGAGTAAAACAAATTAGAACGCAAAAAGATGGTATAATAGAAGTAAAGAATGACGTAACAAAAAAATTAAATAAACAAAAAAATATTAAAATAAATATAATCAATTAAATACAAAAAATAAATGAATAAAAATTAGCGAAATAAATTAATTAAACTGAATAAAAAAAATAAATTAAATTAAATTAATTTAAATAAAAAAAGTTGATAAATTACTTTATTTAAAAACAAAATAAAAATTAAAAAAAACTATTAAATTAGATAAAATAAATTAAAATTAAAAAATAATATCCTTTTAAATAACTATATAAATGAAATGTAGTGCGCGAGTTATCGTAGCGGCCTGAGACTTGGAGGGCATGTTCTGCTTATGACGTAGGCATGCGATATAAAAGAAATTTCTGGAAACTGCTCAAGGATCGACCAATTCAAAAAATTGTATTTATGATTCGACTTTGCTTACTATTCAGAATACAGATAGCAGTGTGTACTAACCCCTGGAAGGCAATTGGTAAGAATTCTGGCTGGACTAACATCAAAAGGTCTTGAAAGTCAATTTCAAAAATTTAAAAATATATATATTTTTTTACATTAATACATAAGTAGCTCTATTTTCGATTCGCTTGATATTTTGAATAAAACCAGCTGCTTGCTTCAGTGGAACTGCGGAAAACTTGCATAACCCGGAAACGTTTTATGTGAAAAGATTCTTATTTTTCGTTCGACTTGCCTGCTACTTGGTACACAGCAGCAAAATTAAATACAAAATTCCAAAATAAATAACATAAAATTATATTAAGAATATAAATAAAATAAAATCCCGAAATAAGTTTAAATACATCTAAAACAAAATTGAAATGAAAAATTTAGAAAATTGAAATGAATAACATAACATTAAATTAAATAAACAAAATTTAAAACGTAATATTAAACAGTAAATTAACAGTGTGAAAAACAAAATAAACCAAACAAAGCAAGACGAACGAAACCAAAAACGCACACAAAATGGTAAAATGATAATAAATTTAACAGGAGTTAAGATATTTAAGTAAATTTATTTTACATATAACGGCATACTCAAACCTTAAAAATGAAATTCAAATATTTTTTAATAAACATTTTATTTATTCGAGCATCCAAGCTATATATACATGTTAATAACAAAACTCCGCCAACTTCACACACTCCGTAAACCTTTGCAGCCAACTTTCAGCTAGACATACATACATAAAGAGATTACCTTCATTACCGCACATCAGTAGATTATAAATAAAAATAAAACATTTTTTTTTGTGTTTAATTATATATAAAAACATTTAATTCTAACAAGACATGGACAAAAAGCAGTACAATTATATGTATGTATGTATGCATATTTTTTTACAATACGAATTTAAGCAGAAAATATAAATTTGAGTGGATTTTTTTGTGTGTTTACTGTAATTTATGCGTTTGTATGTGATCTAAAATAAGTGTGTGTGTGTGTGGGTGTGTATATATAAATTTTTCACATCGTTTCCATGTACATACATAAATGGAACATTTATTACTGAATTTCTTAAAAAAAAATTTCAATTTTTGCTTTTCTTTTCATTATTTACGTTCTGCAAATCGAGAGTGTATCCAGTAAGAAAACGGCACCATTGATGATCATCAGTGAACCAGCAGCAAGTGCATTACGTTTACGCTCCTTATAGAGGAAATTCGAATTATCATGCCATTCATCGATGATCAAGGCGCCCGAAATGACGAAGAGCACACAACCAATAATGGAGATGAGTGCATTGAGACGTTTCTCTACAATTGAGTTGAGTATGTGACCTAAAATGGATTAAGAAAACAAAAATAATTTTTATTATCAGTATTGAGTGCAAAGGTTAAAATTTATTTTTTATAAATTTTGAATAAATTTTTTTTTAAATATATTTTTTGAATATATTTTTTTAATATATTTTTTTAATATATTTTTTTAATGTTTTTTCTTAATATATTTTTTTTTACAATTTTTTGTATCATATAATAATGAATTTAGATTTTTTTATACAATGTGAATATTTTTTTTTTTTTGTATTTAGTATTGAGTAAGAAAGATATTTTCTTTTATAAAATTTAAATGATTTTTTTTATATTATATATATTTTTTTTAATATATTTATTTTTAATATATTTTTTTTATATATGTTTTTTTTTTTAAATTTCTTTTAATACATTTTTTAACACATTTTTTTTTCATATATATATTTTTTTAATTTCTTTTAATATATTTTTTTACATTTTTTTATTAATTTTTTTTTCTTTTATGTAATATGTTTTTGTTATTAAATTTCTTTATATTGTATAGTAATAAGAGTTTTAAATGTTTTTATAAAATTTAAATATTTTCTTTGATTAGAATTTTTTTACAAATTTTGATTAAAAAAGTTTTTAAAAAAATATTTTCCTTCCTTTTTGCTTTAAATATGTTTTTATTTATTTTTTTTTTTTTGATTTAAAATTTATTTTATCTAACTCCGTTGTCAAAAATATTGTACTCACCAACTAACAGTACACCGCAAATGATAGTGAAACCACCGAGTGTACCGCAAACAATCAGCGGTTTTGAGGACAACTCGCCGGAGGTTTCCCATAGTACAATGCAGGCGATCGCAATGCCCTAGAAACAAAACGTGGAGAAAAACAATATTATCATTACACATATAAATACAAATTTTTCATATTTCAGAGCAGTAAGTACATGCATATATATGTATTAAGCGTTTAAAGAAAAGAAAAGTAAAATAAAATCAAATAAAAATTAAAACAAACAATTAAATAAAATTCATTAATATATATTTATATTTAATTATCATAGTGACTTTTACAAATTTCCAGCATACATATATATATAGAATTCAAATAAATTATTTATAAATGAATACATACTCTTGAGCATATTATATATGGTATATATTTATTACTATTTCTTTATATACATACATATAATCATAAATATTTAAAATTTTATACATTTATATTAAATATTTGCTTATTACAAATTTATTCCCCATTCAACTACGTAAAATTACAATTATGTCAACTACAAATATAAGCGCATTTATTATCATCAATGCGCCAGCACTCTTTACGGCATTATGGTCTGGTGCTTGCATATATTGGTTGCTCCAGCGATCTATAACAATCGTGCCAGAGGCGATAAACAAAATGAATGCGCCAATGCTAAAGACACAATCGATACGCTTATCGATTACACCGCCGCCGCCGAGTAGATGACCTGAGAGCGAGAGAGAGCGAGAGAGGGAGATGTACATAGAGAGCGGTAAGGGTAAGAAGGATTTGATTTGACAACAACAGATAGTTGTAATAAAAACAACAAAATTAAAAAAAAAATCATACAATAAATTATCAAAAACCGAAGTGTCAAAGGCATAAAAGAAGATAAAACAGAATTAATCATATTAATAAGTTTTGTCAAGGATTTATATATGCATTTTACATGCTATTGTAAAACACTGGTTTGGCATTAGCAAATGATAAATTAAAGCAATTTCGCCATTCACACATTTTTGGTCATTATTTCTATAATTACCGATAAGTAAAGTACTGCAGATAATCAGATAGCCCGTTAGAGTGCCGCAAACCACCATCGCTTGGCTGGTATATGAATGGTCGGACATTGTTTCAATCATCACTATAGCGCCTATGATGAAGGCCTAGAAAATGTCCGAAAGAAAATATATACTCATAGTATATATGTTATATGTTAATATATACTTATGTATATGGAACATACATACCAGACATGGGCGTATAGTGGTAGAAGTCACACAGTTCACAGAAGAATTAGATAGCAGAAAGACAATAAAAGTAGATACAAAAAACGCGGACAAGACAAAAAAAGACAAGAATAGTAATAATAGTATCTGGTATCTGGTATCAGCCTATGCAGAATGTGTCGTACAACTTTGGATAAAAAACATTAAAAGCTTATCGAGCTGTAGGTGGATAAGAACGAAAGTGGAATGAGACTAAACTTATCAGGAGCGGCACTCCTTAGTAGGTCATACTATTGCCGCTGTGGTTTTACTTGTAGCAAACGAGCCTTTTTATAAGAAGATCGTCTAGGCCATTGTTTATGTGGATGGCATACATTGCAGTAGTCCCTCGGACTATTAGCAACGTGTTACACAAACGCTCAGAGAAGGTAACATGAATGGGCAAATTTAGCAAACTCGAAGTTAAATTCAGACATGACAATATTGGTACTCTTTATTAGAAACTATACAATCCCTACAGTAGTAAGGGATTTCACCAATTACCTTGTGTAATTCCCGAAAGCGATAGAGAAGCCGAAACTTTTCGCTATAGCTTATGCATTAGTGTTACTAGGTAGTCAGTAAAGGTGTGGTGATGCGAAGTCCAACAACTTGACTTTTAGATGGTACAGATTCATACAATTTATTCTAAGACTCCTCTGAATTTCTGATGAATTTTTATGTGGAGCTTTTATTTTATATCAGATATACACTCGGAATGGTTGCCTAGCTTGCCGAGAAACAAACGCAATAGGAAAATTCTCTTAAATTATTTATTAAATTAATTTTTCATAATTTTGAATGTTTCTCCAGTCAGATCGGAGTTTTGATGCGCACAACAACACCTGACATATAACATGAAAAATATCAATCGAACCAGGCAACAGTAAAGGCAATAATCTCACGTCAAAAAATGTTCTTAGCAGTATGAAATTTTTTCAATGAGGTTACAACCTACTGGCGGCAGATGCTTGAAAAAAAGTTATCACCAACAGTGATGCCAGCAAGAACTACAAACAGTCAGGTGAGACTTAAGAACACTTCCAACGCATCTGTCAGGCCTTTTCGAGTATAGAACTCCAACACCTAGTGGCTAAACATTTCAGAGAATTGGCAAAAACTCAAAGTTGGATGACAGAACGCTCATAAGCTACGCCAAAAAGAACAATTCCACCAAACTCAACAAAGAGTCAACAGGTCCAATACAACGTAGCAACCAGTAAATATCACTTAGCCTGATTTTTGACATACCAAAGATATTATATTTGTATATATTTATATTTATATTTATATTTATATTTATATTTATATTTATATTTATATTTATATTTATATTTATATTTATATTTATATTTATATTTATATTTATATTTACTTTTTACTCATTAAAGTACTTAAGAAAAAAAGATAAAAAAAAAAACAAATATTAACCCAAGCCATAATATAATATTTGCATTGTAATATAATACTAACTCAGACACATATTTATAGCAAAAACAATTTAAGCAATGTCTAATAAAAATTAAAATTCCATACACATAAAAAAATGTGCTGAATTGATAATTTGATTTATTTTCAAATGCAAAATACTCATACTTTATTGTCCAGCGGCATTTTATTCAATTACACAAATTTATGATGAACTTGAAAAACATTTATTATTACTGAATAAATTATCAAAACCCAAGTGCGAGCTTGTTTATTGAAGGTCATATGCATATATACTGTACTCAAATGAGAATGCAGACTTAAAAGAAATTTAAAAAATAATAAATAAAATGATAAATTTAATTCTGTTTTTATTATGTTGACCAATATGAAATTAAACTGAACTTTCTGTATTGATTTTAGAAAATGTGATTTATATTTAAATTTTTCTAATATTACCAATTTTTCGTAAATGAGCTATAATCTCTTGAATTAAAATTGTTTAGTCAATTAGATATATATTTAATATTTTCGAAGTACTGTTTTTATCAGGCTTGTTGTTATCTAATTAGGGTTACAACACTTTAACGATATCATTACATCATTCCATTAAAGTCATTGTGGCAACCAGTTAAAGCTTCTCGCTCTCGTTGAAAATAACAGCAATCAATCAAAATGCAAATTAGCGGTTCATTGAAGCAAAAAATTTCAGCAAACGATAACATTTTCATGTCACCTTTAATTTTTTTTTTTTTTTTAATTTCTAATTTAATTTTCTTATTCTTGTTTTGTTTTACGCTTGACTTAATGCAATCTGATACTTTTTCAGAAGTATTTCAAGTGCATGCAATTGTAATAAAGACTGTATAAAAATGTAGTTTGAAAAAATCAATTTGTTTATTATGCAAATATTTGGAATATTTATTATTATTTCTTTTTCCGAAATGAAAGTTACTGAACAGCTTAAAATTAAATTATGGGAGAGTTGAAGGAAATATTTATGAATTTTATTTGCCAAAAATTTTGCAGAATAAAAGCTTTAGTAGCTTCGTTTGCAAATGCGTAAATTTACATAACACAACTGTGTGATAAGATATATGCATTTGTTGAAAATATTATATTAAAATAGATTATAAACAAAAAAGAGATACAAGTAAGCTTTAAAACTATTCAAATTCACACCAGGAGACTTTCAGTAAAAAAGCAAAAAATTAAATAAATAAAACTACCTAAAGCAAATACAGTAAAAGAAAAAAAAAAACAATTAAAATTAAAACAAAATAAAATAAATTAACAAATAAAATAATTAATTATTTGAGGTAAAACCAAAACCAATCGAGATAAAATTAAAATGAAAGAAGAAAAGAAGTTTAAGTGATCTAAATTAAAATTAAAAAAAGAACAGAAAAAGAAAACTATACTAATAAACACAAATTGTGACAAGAACAAAAATATATGAAATAAAAAACAAAAATACTAAAACAAAACCAGTTAAATAGAATGAAAGAATAGAAATGTCAAAATAAAGTAACCAAAAAGAAAAATAAACAAATTGGAAGATAAAAAAAATTAAAAAAAAAAACATTGTAAAAAAAGCAACTTGAAGCATAATTTTAAAAAGTAAATTTAAATAAAATAGCTAAAATAATATAAAAATAAGTAGAAGAAGAAATTCAATGTAAATTAAATATAACATAAACATTAAAACTTAGAAAAAACTAAAAATATTAACTGAAAAAATATTTAATTTAATTCAATATAATTAACCTGAACAAAAAAATGAAATACCAAATCAAATCAAAGAATAAAAAATAAAATAATTAAAGTTAAATTTGAAAATTTAGTTACTTTAGGAAGGAAACAAAATTAATTAATGAAATAAGATAAAACAAAATGAAATAAAATTAAATTAAATTATATAACTGAAAACAAAATAAAACGAAATTAAATTAAATAAAACAAAAAAATATAAGAAAACAAAATAATTTTAAATTAAAATAAAGAAAGTACAGAAAAACAAATATAAAAGAAAATTTTAGTTAAATGCATTAAAATCTAAAATAAAGCAAAACGAAATGAAATTAAATTAAATAAAAAATAATAATAAAATAAGATAAAGCAAAATAAAATGAAAATAGATTAAATAAAAAAAATAATAATATAACAAAACAAAATAATATTAAATTAGTTTAAATAAAATACAGAAAATCATATATAAAAGAAAAATTAAATTAAATTAATTAAATATTAAAATAAAGCAAAATAAAATGAAATTAAATTAAACGAAAAAAATAAAAAGAAAATAAGATAAAGCAAAATGAAATGAAAATAATTTAAATTAAACAAAAAAAAATTAAATAAAACAAAATAATTTTAAATTAACTTAGGTAAAATACAGAAAAAAAAATATAAAAATAAAATAAATAATAAAATTTAATGAAATAAAAATAAAATTAAAGTATGCTATATAAACGAATATTATAATTTGAAAATAAAGTACAATTAATGAATTAAATGCAACGATTGAGCATAGTTTTAGGCGCAATATGTATAAGCGATGGCCGCTTTATAACCGCTGAAGCAAAGTTTCGGTTGTACATTCTTTAAAAAAAGAAAAATTCATATTTAATATATATGTAAAAACGCAAAAAAAAAATATCCATATTTCGAACACTAATGATTTAAGTAAATTTCGCAATAATTATTCACTGTCATTCAGCGCTCATCAGTAAACCAAATTTCATTATTATTTATCTGTTAATATTATTACAGTTTATCAAGTGCTTAATAAATATTTGTATGAATATAAAGCATGTATGTATGATTTTCCGATACAAAAAAATTTGCATGTATATAAACAATATATAACAAAAAAAAAGGATAGCATTTCTCGTTCTCTTTTTTAACATATCTATAAATATACGTATGTATATCACAAGTTCGTCATTGTTGTCTACATAACACTTATCCTAATAGTGATATTTGGTCTATTATATTACTAAGAAATGGGTGCGTAATTGACAACTTGCTGTCATTTTTATTATTGACTGACATTTACTGTCGTAAATCAATTAAATTAAGTAGCATTTAAGTGAAAACTAATGGGCTATTAGTAGATATACAGAAACTATAACTAATTCAATGAATAATATAGTTTTGCATTACGGAATTATTGTGTTGAAATGTAATAAAGTGGCGATTTTACTTTAAATTTTGTATGACTTTAATAAATTATGGGTAAAGAGATTATCTTTCAGATATAGAGCTGAATATCGCTAACATGCTGACCGATTAGTAAACATTTTATTATAATATTATGCACTGAAGTGTGAGCCTTTGCTGCACAAAAGTACAAGCGCCTAATTGTATGCTATAGTTTTTTTCGTGAAGAAATAATTAAAGAATATGTTAGCGGAATAGAGGTGAGAAGTTGAAATATATAAATAATAGTACAAAAAAAACAACCCTTTCCATGAATAAGCGATATACTCAAGCTTAGTTAGCTCATCTGCCAAAATTCTCAACAATTGACGTCATCAATGTAGTCCATTAAACTTAATACGCTTAAAAACATATTGACAAGATATTTACTACAAAATACACATTCATTACAAATGAAAATACCGAAAGGCTCAACTTGTCATCCTTAGTAAAATAACTATTTATCATAATAATAATTTATATACTCAAAAAGCTTTTTAAATACTTAAATACTCCTAAAAAAATGCACAACAACCAATCGCCCACAATTTGCTGTCAAGCTAATGAACATAATTAAAACAAAAAAATTTAAATTACGCAAGTATTTAAATTGATATCAAATATTGGCTGTACAACTGTTTTCTAATAGGCAATACTGATATTCAAATTTATTTAAAAAAAAATAAATAAAAATAAAAAGAAATAAAAATTGATAATTTAAAGAAATAAAGATTGAAAAAATAAAATAAAAAAGAGTAATAAAAAACAGATGCAATTATAATAAATCGAAGATTAAAATCAAAATATGGTAAACAACTTGAAATGATTAATTAACGATATTTATGATTCAAGTGTTATCGCAAATGCTTGCCATTTTTGAATTAAGGAATAATTCAGTTAATGTGAGTTCTTGCAGATTTTATTAGATTAACTATATGTGCTCATATATTTTTCTTAATTAAAATTTTTTTCTGATTGAAGTCGATACGGATAATTTGTTTTCCAATTCGCACTTAACTTTTCAAGTGTTAAAAATAATCTTTAAGTAGCCTAGTATTATCTCTATGTATATATCAATATCTACATATCTGCATATACCACAT